TATGCATTGAGTACTCCAGAATTCTACACATTAAGTACTCAATAACTCGTATGCATTGAGATCTCCAGAACTTCTACACATTAACTACTCCATAACTCATATGTATTGAGTACTCCAGAATTCCACACATTAAGTACTCAATAACTCATATGCATTGAGTACTCCAGAACTTCTACACATTAACTACTCCATAACTCATATGTATTGAGTACTCCAGAACTTCTACACATTAACTACTCCATAACTCATATGTATTAAGCACTCCATTCAGATATAAAAGACTGAATGACTTTGCACTACATACTTATTCTGGTGTCTGGTGGCATCACGTCTCACCACAACGTCCAAGAGACGTGCTTCTTTTGTTTTTGAAGCAGCAAGAAAGAATGCAAGAGGGACTATACAGCAAATTACCAGAAACTAAAATTGTTCTGAGCACAAACTCAGCCCTGCTAGTGGTAAATTGGCATCTTGGCGAGGTCTACCTTGCCATGAAGACCTCATCGACAGTGATTAATTAACCAAAAGTGACAGTGACAAGATTAACACTGTATCTTAGTGCATGACATGCATTTATTCCTATATTACCAGCTTTTATGGGAGTCAAGGACAAGAGGACACTAGGAATCTCCTTTTGTTAATCTTTTTTGACTCCCATGTGTGAAACACACAATGGAAGTCTCTGCAGTTCGTCTGTATGCAAGCATGTCTGAATGTTCCATTGATATCTCAAGAACCATAGGTTGGTTTTTGATGAGACTTGGTGCATAGATGCTCTGAGATAATGCACAGATTTTAATAGCTTTTGGGTTAAACCATGCATATTAATTACCTAATTAGCATGACAATTAGCTAAGTTTTAGCTATTCCATGACTTTTCCACAGATATCTAAAGAACCACTGCTTGGATTTTGATTTTGACTAATTTGCATAAATATGAGTCAAGTAATAATCATCATATTTCAATGAAACTTGGTGCTTATATGCTCTAGGACAATGCACAGACCTGATTTTATTTTGAGTTATAATTCATGCATATTGATTACCTAATTTGCATGATCAGTAAATTTTTGGCTTTTCCACTATTTCAATTACCGGATTCGGCTGATACCCCGCCCATCCTAAACCCCGCCCATGGGCGATGTTTCAAATAGTGGGCGATGTTTTGGTCCACACATTGCCTGACTGAACCAACAAACATTTTTATAGACCCCAATTTTCCCGTCCGACATTCTGTATCGAGCGCGCTATTTCAAATATGACGCTAAAATAATTCACTGTAAAGCCGAAAAGCATTAAAAACTTCAATAAAACCAATGCTGTAAACGAATTGTGTTGCGTATTATTACACTCGAATAAAGTCTACGCTTGAAAAGAATGTTATTTACGAAGTTTAAAATATCCAAGCCTTCCTGGTTCGAGCCTCTTGGTTGTTATCAGTAATGTTTAATCTTTGTCTGTATCGCATTCCAGACAAATGTCGGTAAACAGAAATGGGCGAACTAAATGTCTCCTGCGTTTCACATGCGACATGATTATTAAAAAACACAGAGATCATGTACGTTCTATAAAGCT